GGAATTCTGGGAGTTGAAGTCCACCCATCTTAAAGTTGCCAAGGTTGAGGAACCCTGACTTTAAGACTGTATCGCAAGGAATGAGCACATGGGGTCACAAAGAGTCGGACACGACTTAACGACTGAACAACAAACAACACCCATTTTATGCTCTATCTTTTAGGTGATAAGCTCAAGGACAAGGAATGTCTGATTACTGATCTCCACAGAACCCTCTGACTGTCTTCACAGGCGTGTAAGTTCCAGGATTGAAGCTACCCGGGCTACAATCCTATACACACTTCCTTGAGGGGCAAAAGTAAATTGAGTTCATTTTCAGTGGATATATGTAAGCCTTCTGCTGCTCTATTCATTTCCTCACTTCTATCAACTTTCAGTACCTCCTAACATGTCAAGCCTTGAAAAGCTTGACATTTTGCCAACAATACCACAGTTTCAGATGGAAAATTGCTACCTTCCGTCTTAAGTGCATAAAAGAACTTAAACATTAAATGCAAGTTTCAGGAGCAGGAACGTGAATGTATTAAAGAAAAAACATGAGGAAAAGTCTTTAAGCAAAACTTGGACAAGAGGAATCCCTACAGTTCTATTTCCAAAAAGATACTTGGGTTATCTTTTAGTGAAATGGGGAAATGCAGAGGTAATATTTTAGAAAAATATATACTTAATTTGAAAGTAATCTCCTTAGTGGATCACCACTGACATCCTTAAATAATGCCTTAGACTCAAGATAACACAAAAGCTTTAAATTGTTTGACATTAATTCGTCGTACGTAGATGTTTTCTAACAGAACTATCCCAGTTTCAGAAATCAATGGAAAATAGTAGTCAAATGCTTTAAGCTAGGTCACACGACCATGCAGAGATGGGACAGAAACCTTAAGCACTGGATTCTTGACATAACACCTTTAAAGTAACACTGAGCTCCAGCAAACCCTGCAACGGTCTTGCAATCGCAAGAGATATCAAAATACAGTTTCCTTAACTAATAGATTATGGCCACATTTCTGTTCAAGAAAGAGGGCAGCTAGCCATCCTGTATGGGCTGCCTGCACCATTCTAGGTCTTCTGCAGCTTGATGATCTTGGGAAAAACCATACACTTACCAGCAGCTGTGATTTCGTGTGTTCATCTTCAGTTGCAGCTCTCTCTCTGAGAATGGCTCTAGCCAAATGCTCACTGGAGACAGTTCTCTCTCGCTCAAGGACTTTACTGACTTCATCTTGAATGTACATTTGGTTTTGTTTCAATCTACGAAAGAGTAAAGACAGAAAACTGAACTGTATGGTCAAAGCAGAATGCTTGCCTAATGTGTCAAAACAAAAGGATCACTAAAACAAACCAGAATTCTGCTAGAATTGATTGGCCTTTCATTTCAATGGAACCAGCACACTGAGACATGGTGGAACATTCCCCACAGCTTGTGTCTACTGATAATGCCATAATGCACCCAGGAGCTCTGGTAGAGATATATAATTGCTGGTTTTTAACAGGCAAGAGCACTTCTAAGCATGAATGCCAGGCTTTATTATATGCATAAAGCTTCAAGTCTAGCAAGTAATGTGATTTCAACTTATCAGCACAGCACGCAGATATAATATCATTATGATTATAAAAATCCTATTTCCCAGAAAGATTAAATGCATTATTAATATTTCTTCAGTAGCACGTAGCGTGTAATCTAAGCATAGAGCTATCCTTATTCCAGGCCACTCTTGTTCAAAATAAAGTGATTTATCTGTCATCACTTATTTACCATCAAAGGTTTTAACTCACACAGAACTTTATGCAAGAGTTACTTCTTAGATGATTATTATCAGAAACCTATCCAGAC